GGGGGGGGGCGCAAGGTGAAAGTTTCACCTAGGGCGCGAAACTTCCTTGCACCGGCCCTGCTTAAGACGGGGTGGCCAACCTGTGGCTCCAGAGAAGCCACCCCTTCAGAAGTTAATATGCGGCTCCTTGTATAGGCACCAACTCCGGGGCTGGAGCTACAGGCGCCAATTTTCCAGTGTGCCAGGGGGTGCTCACTGCTCAACCCCTGGCTCTGCCACAGGCCCTGCCCCCGCTCAACCCCTTCCCGTCCCCTCCCGAGCCTGCCACGCCCTCCTTCCTCCCCCTCCCCTCCAGAGCCTCCTGCATGCCACGAAACAGCTGATCGGGAGGTGTGGGGAGGGAGGGGGAGGCACTAATCGGTGGGGCTGCCGGTGGCGGGAGGCACTGGGAGCGGGTGGGGGAGCTGATGGGGGGCTACTGACATATTACTGTGGCTCTTTGGCAATGTACATTGGTAAATTCTGCCTCCTTCTCAGGCTCAGGTTGGCCACCCCGCCTTAAGAGGTGCTTAGCCAGTGTCTCTAGTTACCGTTTCCTAGCAGGAGGTGACCCACTTCCTCTGAGCTCTTCATCTATCCATTGCTGCTGCACTCCATGCCCCACAGGGATGTACTGAGGACAGGGTGTCTTCACAGGTTAGTAATGGCTGCATTGTGTACTGTAGTATTTAAGGCTGAGCTTTGCGAGATGGGTCTGAATTACTAACATGTTCTGCAATCTTGTGTCAATTCAGTTAAGGGACACTGGTTAAGTTTAAAAATGTAATATATATTCTTACTTTGTTACTAACTCTTGAATACAACAATTGAAACAATTGTAGAAAAATTTGGATTACTTTCTATCAGTTTTTTGCAGTTCATCAAACTTGGAATAGATCATTTAACTTTTGGAAACATCCTATTAGGGCAAGGCCCTGTGAGTTTATACTGCACCTGCCTGGGGCTCTAGGGCACAGCTGCCAACTTTCACGGGGTAAATAAGCTCCTTGACTTTCACAATAAGCCAAAAATCAAGCTAATCCCATTTCAAAACAAGGCCAAAACAAGCCAATCCCTTAGAACCCCAACACTCTATGTGACTAGATCCCCTGGCATGCAGTCTGGAACTGTGGTGGGCCCACTGTGCACCCCTGACTCTCTCCCCCCCTTGCCCCTGCTTGCCGGGAGCCGATCAAAAAAAAAAGAAGAAGCTACAACAAGCTACAAGCCAAACAAGCTACAAGCCAAAAACTAGACAACAAGCAACTCACAGCCAATTAAGCCAAAAACGAGCCCAATTTCTGTGTTTTTTTCCGCGGGTTTGGCATGTGTAACATAACTTGTTTGTATCAGGGTATAAAGATGTATCTCAGAGAGAGTATCTTTGTCCAGCCGAGGAGGGAATGGAAAGTCCCGCCAATCATTGAGTTGGTCCACTGTCACGGGCATACATGTCTTAGTATCCTCGTAGAGTCTGCCACATGCTATTACCGTGCTTTGTCAACAATAAACCTGTACTGCCACCTTCATACATTAACAGATCTTGTGGTCATTGGGCGGTTCGCTCAAGGTCTGCTGTGCTGGCTGTCTGCACAGAGCTGGGGCAGCACACAGGGAGAACACATGTAGACGAACATCTAATCACAGATAACACGGGCAATAATTAGGGGTGTTTCTAACCTGGTGAAGCAGGGTGTTATATCTAATGCACTTTGGAATCTTTTCTCCTTATGTCTAATAAAGGTTATTTGTTTTGTTAAGGAAAGTGAAGTAGGTGCTTTGTGATTCAGTGCACAATATTACTTGCTAAATACATCACTAGAGTTCAAGAGATTCAGCACTAATGTGGAGAGGAGCTGTAGCATATGTAAAATAATCAATAAAGATTTCAATCGTCTAACATGTCTTGCAATATGTTCTAATGGTCCCTTGTGCCATGAAATTGAAGTCAGCTAAATTCATACTGAGGGTGATTAAGCATTGCAACAGATTATAAAGGAATGTGATAAATTCTCCACTTTAAATCTTTAAATCAGGACTGGTTATGTTTCTTAAAGATATACTCTTGTTCAACTAGTTATTGGGCTAGAAACAGGCAGGAATCAGTTGGTGGATTCTTTGGCCTGTTTTATGCAAATATTTCAGATTACATGATTGTATTAATCCCATTTGAAGGCCTGTTTTATCTGCTATTCAGTTCAAGGTATTGATTGTGCCTTGCTTATTCCATAGTGCTCAAAACTAAGATGAGCAAAAACCTGGTTTCACATTCACACTTTTATTATTGAATTCTACTTTATTGGACCCACTTCTGAAAGACAAAAAAAAGTAAATTACAAGATAGCCAATAAAGTACTAATGCCATGTCCATATTTATATTTTTCCATCTCTTTTGCTGATCATTGAGGAAGCACTAGGGTGGCATTGGCAATACAAGAGATGCCTCACCATGTCTGCATAGTAGCTTCAGAAAGAGCAAGGGTGGGCAGCAAGCCTGGCATTCTACAAAGTTATTTTTCGACATTCATAGACTGTTGTAAACTGGGTTCAATTCTCCTCCAAATATTTAGTGCAAAAAAGTGGAGGTGTGGGGGAGGAGAGGGGACTTGGGACAGTCTTGCCAGGAAACTTTGGAGGAGAAAGGCAAATAAGGAGAAGCCATCAAACACTGAGTGAGAAGAAATCTGCAATGATTCCACGGAGTGCCTGGAACAGACTCCTGCCTTCATAGATAGGAGAGGGGGAGCAGCTCTCTCCCTCCCTGGTATGAAAATGATCGTATGGAAGAAATACTAAAATTCCACTGAGCACCTGGTAGAAACATTAATAGAGGAGGCTGCTTAGAAAAACAAATATAAAATCACTCTGTGCTCAGCTTTTCCTGTGCAAACCCAATGCCATCCGTGAAGGTATATGAGTTTAATGAAGAGAAAAAGTCAGCCTCCAGGGTCTCCTTACAGAACTATCGATAATTATGCCAGGGTTTTGTGAGGTGGAAGATCTCAGCTAAAGAACCTCAATAACACATTCAGGCAAGGGATGCCAACCTCCATAAAACTGTCTTGTGTTTCCTTTCCCTAGTCAACATAGCTTCAAGTTCCAGCCAGTTGTCTCCTTCCTAGATAGCTGTCCCTCCACCTGCTCAGTTTCTGCAGGATGTTCCAGTGTCCAGGGGAAACACCATAGTCCACCACCACAGGCAGACAGAGAGAAGACAAGAAGCTGGAAAATGTCTCTAAAGGGCAAGTGGCAACTGGAGACTTGATAACCTGTTTCAAGAGGTGGTCACAGTTACTAGCTATTGCACACACTTGTCATAGTCCACCAGTAATAGAAAAGCCCTGGGCAAGACTTTAAAAAAAGCAATACCGAAAAGCCTGTGTGCTGTGAATAATAAGCACATCTGGAGAACAAGGCAGAAGGAATAGGTACCTCTTATGCAATTTAGCCAATTTACATCAGAAGCTGACAGACACTTTACAGAACAGTAAACAATTAGCAATTAGTAACAATTAGTAAAGCACTTTGAAGAGATGAATTCTGTGTGAGTGTTGAATATTATGATGGTTAGGATGGGACTAGAGCAGGGGTGGGTAAACTGCGGGCCGTATCCAGCCCGCGAGTCATTTTAAGTCGACCCGCGAGCTCCCTCTGGGGAGCGGGGTCTGGCTTTGCCCTGCTCTGGCACTCCAGCCAGGGCGCTGGGTCGGGTGCCACACCATGCGTCTTGGCCCCGCTCCGGCGCTCCAGCTGGGGCGCTGGGTCAGGGGCCGCACCACACAATTCAGCCCCGCTCCGGCGCTCCAGCCAGGGTGCTGGGTCGGGGGCCGCACCACACAGCTCAGCCCTGCTCCGGCGCTCCAGCCAGGGCACTGGGTCGGGGGCCGCACCACACAGCTCCCGGAAGCCACTCCGGCTCCTACGCGCTCCAATGGCCCCCTCCGGCGCTCCAATGGGAGCTGCAGGGGCGGTTCAGATGGGGCAGCGTGCAGAGCCATCTGGCCGTGCCTCCATGTAGGAGCTGGAGAAGGGACATGCCACTGCTTCTGGGAGCCGCTTGAGGTAAGCACTGGTCAGAGCCTGCACCCCTGAGCCTCTCCCAATGCCCCAACCCCATGCCCCAGCCCTGATCCCCCTCCTGCCCTCCGAACCCCTCAGTCCCAGCCCAGAGCACCCTCCTACACCTGAAACTCCTCATCCTCAGCCCCATCCCAGAGCCTGCACCCCCAACCAGAGCCCTCACCTCCTCCCTCACCCTGACCCCAATTTTGTGAGCATTCATGGCCCGCCATACAATTTCTATTCCCAGATGTGGCCCTCAGGCCAAAAAGTTTGACCACCCCTGGACTAGAGAGTGATTGAGGGTGTAGATACTAGGGCCCAGGTCTTGAGGACCTTTCCGAGCATCCAATAGGCAGGTGGATGAAGGAACAAGTGGGTTGGGGACATGGGCAGCAGGTATCATAGGCTGGGGGAGGCTGAGCCTCCCCAAACAGCCAGGCGTGGCCTCACCCACACTCCGTCACCAGTCCGCTCCTGCTTCCCACTCTGCGGACGGCTCTTCCCCTGTGCCATCATGGCCCCAGCTGGGGCTGGTGCTGGTGCTGTGCTGCCCACCCTCCCGGCGCTCGGGCTAGAGAGGCTGGGGCTGCACTGCCTGGCCACCTGACGCTCTGGGGCCAGGGAGGCTGGGGACGCACTGCCGGGCCTCCTCACGGTCCGGGGCTGGGCTGGGGCCATGCTGCCTGGCCTCCCTGCTCTCTGGGGCTGGGGGGTGAGGACTGGGGGCGCTAGCCTGAGGCAGGGGCCAGCGGCCACTGTCGGGGGTCTCTGGGCTCCGGCGGGCATGGAAGGGGCAGGGCTTCGGGTAGAAGGGGTGGGACTGGGGGGCTAGCCTCCCTGAGCCAGCAGTTCACCCACCACTCATGCTTGGGGACCTTTACATGATACAACTGGATTGTGAACCGAAGCCCAGTGTCAGAGGAAGAACAAGCCCAGATTTCAGATCAGAACTGGATGTGTGCACCAGAGTTAGTTTAATCCCTGACTGTCAGTGACTGTGAGTTCTTGGGCTGGATGATGGCAGAGCTGAGCTGAGGAGTAAGGTATAAAAACAGCTTCTAAAAGGATTGAGGCATGAGTACCATCTTCAGGACCTTTTCCTTCCAGTGATCTTCTCTCCTGGGGGCATCTTCTGCTTTAGCTATAACGGATATAAATAAGAAATTACCCAAAGGAAAGTTTATTTAAAGAGTTTGATAAAGTTCAGTTTGTTCATTTTTGAGTTATTGACATGGTGGTGGGGTGAATGGGGGATGGGGAGGGGAGTTATTCTCATAGATGCCTTTTTAGGACTAGGTTAGGACTTTCTGCTACATTTTGCATGGTGTATCAACTTGTAGAGCTTGTGCATGTATCCAAAACAGCTCCTCTAGCACAGGGGTTCTCATCCTTTTCCATGTCATGACCCCATGTCACAATAGAAAAGCATTCATGACACTTCTCCCATCTACCCTTAGAGAAACAGGGGTGGCCATGATGCACAGGTTGAGAACCTTTGCAGTAGTGCATGTTATTTAGACAGTAAAACAAACACACATTGAACCATGTTGGATTTTCATGTAACAAGCTGTAGAAGAGTGTCTTTGTCTTCCTCTAGTGGCTGGTTCACACAGGAGGCTATGACCATTTGGCAACTATGTCTGGGGGAAAAAAAGGCAGCAAAGCAAAAAAAAAAAAAAAAACCCCACCACATCACCCCCCCCCCCAAGCCCTGGACGGAGGCCAGGGAGACGCAGGGGAGCGCGGGGCTGGGGTGAGTGTGAGTGGGGGACAGGCGGCGGCTGTTCTCCCCACCTGGGCAGCGGGACTCGGGAGCAGCCACTGCTGCAGCTCCCACTGCTGCGGGGGGAGGAAGCGGCCGCTGGCCAAGCACGTGGCGCTCGGCAGCTGCGGCTCTGGCGCCCACGAACCCCCCCGAGTCCGGGCCTGCTGCGGGGACCCAGCAGCGCGCACGCTGCGCCCAGCCCCTGGCCAGTTGCGTCTGGGCTGGCTGCCCAGCTGGTGCAATCCCGCGGGCGGCCCCGGAGTGGGGGCAGCAGGCCCCAGCCCCCCCATCCCGCTCGGGTCCCGCAGGGGAATGAACGGGGTTGCCAATGCCTCCGCCCCAGGGCCGCCCGCGGGATTGCACCAGCTGGGCAGCCAGCCCAGACGCGACTGGCCAGGGGCTGGGCGCAGCGTGCGCGCTGCTGGGTCCCCGCAGCAGGCCCGGGCTCGGGGGGTTCGGGCCCGGGCGCCAGAGCTGCAGCCGCCGAGCGCCACGTGCTTGGCCAGCGGCCGCTTCCTCCCCCCGCGGCAGTGGGAGCTGCAGCAGCGGCTGCTCCCGAGTCCCACTGCCCAGGTGGGGAGAACAGCCGCCTCCTGGCCCCGCGGGCCGCCCCCCACTCTCCCTCCAGGTACCGCGCCCGAGTCCTGCCTGCTCGGGGCCAGGCCGGACTCACACTCACCCCGGCCCCGCACTCCCCTGAGTCTCCTGGGCATGGCGTGCTTGGGAAGAGGCGGGGATTTGGGGAGGGAGCCAATGGGGCAGTGAGGGGGCGGGGATGGGGGCGGGGATTTGGGGAGGGATCCAATGGGGGAAGGAGGGGAGGCGGAGTCGGGGCGGGGGGGGCGCGAGCCCTTCCGGGCTCCGCCTATGTGCGGGAGCCTTGCTTGTTTGTCCAGTGTCCCGACCTAACATTGGTTGGGACTCGGGACAAACAAGCAAATATCGGGACAGTCCCGATAAAATCGGGATGTCTGGTCACCCTAAGTACATTTCCCAGACCTGAAGAAGAGCTCTGTATGGCTTGAAAACTTGTCTCTCTCACCAACAGAAGTTGGTCCAGTAAAACATATTACCGCACCCACTCTGTCTCATAGAAATAAATAAGCATTTCAAGACTGATTTCTCTGACAGTTTACCTTAAAAGTTGGAGTCAAACGCTGCATTTGTAAAGACACCAGGTGCTCCCAGGTTACTAGACAACAACAGAAACACACTGGTATAAACCTAGAGTGATAGGAAATGAGAGAACCCCTACCATCGGTCAAAAAAGCCCTTTTCTCTCTTAAGGAACTGGTTCTTCCACCCTAGGCAAAATAAGAATTGGGGCACAGATTTGGCAGCTCCTGAAGACTCACACATTTTCCTGAATGAGTCACTGCATCTGTGTCTGGGAGGATGTGTTATCAGAGCCTCTTTATCCCCTGAATGTGGTGCTGTAACCACTCATGACTGCCCATAAATTTTGTACCTGTGTTCATATGGATCCATATTACAAGTAAACAGCAATGAACGTAATGACCCCATCTTGTGGGCCATTCTCCAGTCTATTGTTTACAAAACCTTTACTGCCCTTCCAGGCCTGAGCCTGCACTGCACAGAAAGCCAGGATCTAACAAAACAACACTATACAAGGGTCATCCTCAGGGACTCCATGCCACGATGTTTTTGGCTTCATGGTGGAACACACTTTAAATTCTCACAATGTGGATTATAACAGAGACCCCTGTTAAACCTGCAATTTTTAAAGGACCCAATGAAAGAAATGGCTCTCTGTGTTATTATTTTAAATACTGGAATTTAGTAATAAAAAATCATGGTACACGTAACAGGCAAGACAATCCCATTGACCAGGACAGGACTCCTATAGAGCCCTAGCTCATTCTGTTGGCATCTACTGACCAGTTGTTTACAATGTGTATGCAGTCCCATTAGCAACACATGCAAAATAGTGCACCCTGCCTTTCTTTGGAACACTGGCAAATCATTGTTAAAAATGCACCTATCATGCCTCTGTGTATGCACAAAGTGTGACTTCCAAAGGCTCATCATTTGGTCTAATCAAAACCAGTTTTCACTGTAAATCCCAAAGCCCATGTTGAGAAGATGTCTATGTCCCTGCCAGAATTCAGCTTTCTAGCCCCAGCTGGTTCAGCACTAGAGTTATTAATGTAAGGACTATATGATGTTTTATGATGGGGGAAAGTGCCCTACACACCTTGTGCTTGATACTATAAACCATTCCTGTTCAGACTTTCAAAAAAATTCACTTTTGGGGTCAGGCACGAATGTCTCACCCCAAAAGGCTAAAATTTCTGGAAGGGCTGGGTGAGGAAAAACAGGGGACTGGCAAGCTCCATGGTAGCTGCAGTGCTCGTGAAAGCCGTGGTGCAAGTTAGAGTGATCAGCTCACAGAACACATGGCTCTTACCTGGTGGGATTCAGCAGTGTTTTTTCTTCCTCTGATGATGGAGTTGAAACATCCATGGGATGGTGCAGAAACAACAACAACAAAACAGATCTCATCAGTGAAGGGTATGGTAAGCATGTGGGATAAAGCAGTCTCTGACAGACTAGGTTCTCACCATGGCTTCCGAGAGCAAATTCTGAGATGGTTAGTGGAGATACACTGTGCTCGGGTACATATACCCCCCATGTGATGTTCTGTACCTCGGGGGAACATCCTGCACCCCCATGTTCATCCTTATAATATGATTGTGTGATATCCAATGCAAAGTTTGTCATGTCAGGTGTCTTCGGAAGGCTCATGATGCAATGAGCATTGTTGTTACAGTAATATTATAGTAATGTTATAGGTTGTAATTTCATGTATATAGTTATGAGGCTGAAAATGTATCCTTATGGCTTAAAACAAGCCCAGGCAAAACTCTCCAGGAACAGAGGGGCAGTACATACCTCATCAGGACATGTATGGGACAAACCCAGCCCAGCCTCACAGGAACAAAGGACACTGGCCTAGGCAGCAACAAAGGATCTGTTGGACTCTCCAGTGAGTCACCCCCCCTTCCCTTGGTCAGTTTGGGACTATGATGAGGTAATGCTCACCTGACCCTGAAGTGTGGGCGGGGGGAGGGCAAAGCCAAGGGGTAAGAAAGAACATGATAAAAGGGATAGATGTTTGCCATGCTGGCTCTCTCTTCCTCGATCATCTACAGACACCACCACCAAGCGACTGAAGCGCTGATCAAAGGGGACAGCCTGGCTGAAGGGCAACCAGCCAGCCTATGGTGAGAAGCATCTAAGTTTGTAAGGGCACTGAAAGTGTTAAGATCAGCTTAGAATGCATTTTTCTTTTATTTAATTTGGCCAAATCTGACTTGTTGTGCTTTGACTTATAATCACTTAAAATCTATGTTTTGTAGTTAATAAATTTCTTTGTTTAGTTTACCTGAAGTAGTGCGTTTGGTTTGAAGCGTGTCAGAGACTCCCCTTGGGATAACAAGCCTGGTACATATCAATTTCTTTGTTAAATTGACAAACCCATATAAGCTTGCAGCGTCCAGCAGGCATAACTGGACACTGCAAGACAGCGGTTCCTAGGGTTGTGTCTGGGACTGGAGATATTGGCTAGTGTCATTCAGTTGCACAATCAAAGCAGCGGCTGGCCAAAATTGCTCACTCATGTAGCTGGGAGCAGCTTACATGCAAGAGGCTGTTCAGGAAGAACCCAGGAGTGGTGGTTCCCACAGCACAGCAGGGTAAGGCTGGCTCCCAGAGTCAAGGATTGGTCGGTCCAGATAACATCAGGGGAATGTCACACCCCACATGGCTAGACTCCATGCCTGGGCAGAGGGAAGAGAACTGGGACCACCTTAAAGATGCCATCTGAGCCAAGCGGCATGGATGCAAGGCCTCTGGGACATGTGAGATTATTATTAGGAGGGCCCAGCAGAGCAAGGTGCAGCTGACAGGGCTCCTATCTCTCTGTTGGGGCTTTGTTTACCTCCTGGGAAAAATGGTTACCCTCAGAAAGGGTTCTACTTAGATCCTGAACTTGTTCTCTGGGAGTCTATTTCAACAACAGCATGCCAGTCTTCTGTATTTCAGGCCTTTGGACCTCCCTGAAAATAGTGGCAGCAGCCACACTTGTTCTGTTGACTTCAGTGAGGGTTGGCTCAGCCCCTTCATCTCACCGAGCCTCATCAGGGACAAAGATGCTGCTGCCCTCAGCCATGTGAGGCAGAATAGAATCCAGCTCCTCCCTCAGCTATGCTGGGTCTGCAAGGCTGAGGAGAGGGTGTACTTCTGTCCATAAACAAGCACACAGGGATGAACCACGTGGACTAATAAGGGGCCATCTTGAATCACTTTTCTGACCTTATCTGCACTTCTTCAAGGGATAAATCACCTGTTTCCAGGCAAATGCCCTCAGCAATAATAACCAAAGACACAAACAAAGCCATGCATTTCTTACCTTTGTCACTGAGACGCTTGATTAGCAGAGCTATGAACATTCCTGTCAACAACAGGGCCACAAGGGCCACAGCTCCACCACCCATGTAAAGCAGGACTTGCTTGAAATAGGGAGCAGCCTCTTCTGAAATAAATTCCCAGGCCAACATGTTAGGATTCAGATCACTGGGAGTAAAATTTTCAAAAGCGCCTAAGGGTCTTAGAGCCAGATTTTCAAAGGTATTTAGGTCCCTAGTGAGACAAATAGGCCCTAGTGGGATTGACAAAAGCACCTAAGCAGGTGAGGTGCTGAACTCTGGCAGTTGGATGCCTCTGACATTCCCACTAGGCCCCCGTCTGCATCTTTAGGTGCCTCGATACTTTTAAAAATCTGGCCCTAAGTGACTTAGACAGCTAGGTCCCTTTTCAAAAGTGACGTAGGCACTTAATGGAACTTAGCTGTCTAAGTCACTTAGACCTTGCAATGCTGAAAGAAGCAACACGTAAATACCTTTAAAAAACTGAGCTTTAGGCTCCTGAATCCCATTGAAAGTTACTGGGACTCCTGCTCCAAAATCAGATGAAATTAAGTGTTGATAAATGCAAAGTAATACATGCTGGAGGCAGGAGTGCTGGAACCTAGGTAGAAGTGGGGGGCCCATGAAGCCCTGCCTCCTCCGTGGCCTCACCCCTGCCCTCCTCTTCCCCCAAGGCCCTGCCTCCCCTGTCGTGGAGGGTCCAGGACTCTCCACAGTGGCCGGGCTCCTTGGATGGCTCTTACCACTAGGGTGACCAGATGTCCAGATTGTATAGAGACAGTCCTGATATTCGGGGCTTTTTCTTATATTGGCGCCTATTACCCCCCACCCCCGTCCTGATTTTTCACACTTTCTATCTGGTCACCCTACTTATCATGGCCCAATTCTGGCTTCCGTCCTGGCCAGAGGGCAGGGCCTCGGGGGGGGGGGGGGAAGGAGGAGCAGGGGGTGGGGCCACGGAGAGTGGCTGGGACTGTTGGGATATAGATATGCAGGCCTGCCTGTAAAGGCCTATACTTTAAGAACTTAGCTAGTTATAGAGGTATAAAACAAAGAATCAAAATCACAGTCCACCTGTCTATGGGCCTTCTCTCACTAGGATAGTCTGAGGCCTGGTTCTTAGGCTAAGGCCTTTGGCTAAGCAGCAGAGGCAACCATAAGCTGGGAAGCGTATGGTCACATCCTCACATTCCAAACTAGTCACATTAAAATAAGGTGCTATTGGGCTGTTAGGAATACAATCCTGTCCTGATAATGCCTATCACCACCAGATATAGATGGTTAAAGAAAACTTAGTTTGATAGCATCCTGTCTGGCAAAAAATCACTTCTCAACAGTTGTGGTTGTGAAACCCTCATTTCTATATGTTTTATCTTTATGGCCCCCACTTTTCTATTGTTAATCTGTCTGGTTCTCTAATTGTTTCTGTCTGCTGTATAATTAATTTTGCTAGGTGTAAATTAATTAGGGTAGTGGGATATAATTGGTTAGAGAATTATGTTACAATATGTTAGGATTGGTTAGCTAGATTTCAGTAAAATGATTAGTTAAGGTATAGCTGAGAATATTACTATATAAATTAGGGGCAAACAGGAGGTAAATTGGGATTCGAAAATAAGGAAAAAGGAATTTGGATTTAAGCTTGCTGGAAGTTCACCCCAATAAACATTGAACTGTTTGCACCTTCTGACTTTGGGTATTGTTGCTATCTGTTCAGGCGAGAAGGACCAGGGAAGTGGAAGGGTGAAGGAATAAGCCCTCTAGCAGGGACTAGTGGCGAGGGGGGGCTAAGGCCCACCTCAGTCCCGCACTGGGAAGAGGCTATTGCTGTGGGCAGGGGCTGAGCTTTGCAGTGGGGGAGCTGATCATCATCAGCCCGCTGTGAAGCGTAGCCCCTGCCTGCGCCACTTCGTGCCTGTCTGGGCTTGCAGTTTGGGGGGGCAATGTGGCCCCCTGCTCCCCCAACTACATCTGTGTAAAAAGTGGGTGGACATAGCCGGTTCTGGCACCCTTGGCTGAAGGGAATAACTCAAACTACCCATCCATCATACTGAGTTATAAATAAGCTGTGTGAGCTCAGGAAATAGACTTGGGCATCCCTAGGCCTGGTCTACACTGGGGGGGTGTCGATGTAAGATACACAACTTCAGCTACAGGAACAGCATAGCTGAAGTCGACGTATCTTATTTCGACTTACCTCCCGTCCTCACGACGCGGGATCGACGGCTGTGGCTCCCCCGTCGACTCCGCTACCGCCGCTCACCCTGGTGGAGTTCCAGAGTCAACGGGAGCGCGTTCGGGGATCGATATATCGCGTCTAGATGAGACGCAGTATATCGATACCTGATAGATCCGGCGGGTAGTCTGGACGTACCCTTAGGGACAATTCAATGGAGAGCGCTGCTCTGCTTTATGTGCAGTGGTGGTCAACAAACCAAACAAATTGTTAGGGTGCAAATGAAACTGGATGGAGCATAATATGGAAAATATAGAGCAGCATTATAGAAATGAATGGGACGCCATCGCATGGGATGCTATGTGAAGTGCTGCTCATTCCCCTCAAAAGTGACATCACAGGAGCAGAGCAGGACGGCTAGAGAGACAAGGAGAGAGACTGGGATTGTTGCTATAGAGAGGGGACGGATAAATGAAGACCTGATAAAAGTGGCCCGGAGAAGGTACTGGAGAGTGTTCTCCTAGTCTCATAGCATAATGGGACATTCAGTGAAAAGGAAAGATGGCAAATTCAAATCCGATACAGTCAACATGATCACACAGTGCACCAACGTGCTGGTGGTACTCTCACAAATACCGGGGCAGGAGCTTCTCAAGGCCCGGCAAGGCATTTGCTGTTTATACAGATCACAAGAGGATCTGGAGTTGTAACAGCAAACACTATCTGATTAAATGGGTTTTAGCCCACGAAAGCTTATGCCCAAATAAATTTGTTAGTCTCTAAGGTGTCACAAGTACTCCTCGTTCCTCTTGCTTGAGTCAACCACTAACTAGTGGAGCAAATCATCCCACATCTGCCTGCTGTGGGGCTTCTTGCACCTTCCCTATCAGCATCTGGTGCCGGCTCCTGCCAGAGACAGGATACTGGGCTGAGCTAGATGGACATAGTGTCTGATGCCCACTGGCCACCCTTGTGTTCCACTCTCTAGTGCTTGCTGGTTTCACCCAAGTGTGCAGCTTTGCAAAGGGCTGTAAGTATTAGTGTATACCCCAAAGGGCTCTGCTCTTCCTGTTACCGAGAACAGCCTCATTTGCTAGCCCCTGGATCTCCTTCCCCACACTGGGAATGCTCACTCCCCACCTGAGCCTCTCCACATTCACCCTCTTGTCTCTCTCCGGCAAAGGGCTTGCAAGGGAAAAGCACTGCTCCACATGGAAGCTAGAACATGGCAAAACAACTTACCTTGGCAGGCAGGCATCTTGTCTGACCAGTGCCCATCAGGCTGGCACTGCACCCTGCTTGTCCCATTGAGGAAGTAGCCCTGAGTGCAGCGGAAGCGACACACTGACCCATAGCTGAAGGATTCCAGAGGGTGGGAGCAATTCATAAGAATTGGCTCTAGGTCCCTCAGCTTGGGGCATCTCGTGACTGGAATAAAGAAAACAAACGATGAAATGTTCAGACTAGCGCTGTCGATTAATCACAGTTAACTCATGCTATTAACTCAAAAAAATTAATAGCGATTAATCGCAGTTTTAATCGCACTGTTAAACAATAGAATATTGATTTCAATTACAACACAGAATATAAAATGTATAGTGCTCACTTTATATTATTATTTTTATTACAAGTATTTGCACTGTAAAAGTGATAAACAAAAGAAATAGTATTTTTCAGTTCACCTCATACAAATACCATAATGCAATCTTTGTTGTGAAAGTGTAACTTATAAGTGTAGATTTTTTTTGTTACATAACTGCACTCAAAAAGAAAACAACATAAAACTTTAGAGCCTACAAGTCCATTCAGTCCTACTTCTTGTTCAGCCAATTGCTCAGACAAACAAGTTTGTTTACATTTACGGGAGATAAAGCTGCCCGCTTCTTATTTACAGTGTCACCTGAGTAACAAAATGGAGGAACTAGAGCTATTGGTGCAGGAAGTGAAACCAGATATTATAGGGATAAGAGAAACATGGTGGAATAATAGTCATGACTGGAGTACAGGTATTGAAGGGTATGTGCTGTTTAGGAAAGACAGAAATAAAGGCAAAGGTGGTGGAGTAGCATTGTATATCAATGATGAGGTAGACTGTAAAGAAATAAGAAGTGATGGAATGGATAAGACAGAGTCTGTCTGGGCAAAAATCACATTGGGATAGAAAGCTCCTAGAGCCTCCCCTGAGATAGTGCTTGGGGTGTGCTACAGACCGCTGGGATCCGATTTGGATATGGATGGAGAACTCTTTAATGTTTTTCATTAAGTAAACACTAATGGGAATTGTGTGATCATGGGAGACTTTAACTTCCCAGATATAGACTGGAGGACAAGTGCTAGTAATAATAATAAAAAAAAAAGATGCGATAGCTGATGGATTCCTTCACCAAGTAGTTGAAGAACCAACAAGAGGGGATGCCATTTTAGATTTGGTTTTGGTGAGTAGTGAGGACCTCATAGAAGAAATGGTTGTAGGGGACAACCTTGGTTCGAGCGATCATGAGCTAAGTCAGTTCAAACGAGATGGAAGGATAAACAAAAATAGATCTGGGACTAGGGTTTTTGATTTCAAAAGAGCTAACTTTAAAGAATTAAGGAAATTAGTAAGGGAAGTGGATTGGACTGAAGAACTTGTGGATCTAAAGGCGGAGGAGGCCTGGAATTACTTCAAGTCAAAGTTGCAGAAACTATCAGAAGCCTGCATCCCAAGAAAGGGGAAAAAATTCATAGGCAGGAGTTGTAGACCAAGATGGATGAGCAAGCATCTCAGAGAGGTGATTAAGAAAAAGCAGAAAGCCTTCCCATCTTCCAAGGAGTGGAAGATGGGAGGGATCAGCAAGGAAAGCTACCTTATTGAGGTCAGAACATGTAGGGATAAAGTGAGAAAGGCCAAAAGCCATGTAGAGTTGGACCTTGCAAAGGGAATTAAAACCAATAGTAAAAGGTTCTATAGCCATATAAATAAGAAGAAAACAAAGAAAGAAGGAGTGGGATCGCTAAACACTGAGGATGGAGTGGAGGTTAAGGATAATCTAGGCATGGCCCAATATCTAAACAAATACTTTGCCTCAGTCTTTAATGAGGCTAATGAGGAGCTTAGGGATAATGGTAGGATGACAAATGGGAATGAGGATATGGAGGTAGATATTACCACATCCGTGGTAGAAGCCAAACTCGAACAATTTAATGGGACTAAATCGGGGGGCCCAGATAATCTTCATCCAAGAATATTAAAGGAACTGGCACATGAAATTGCAAGCCCATTAACAAGAATTTTTAATGAATCAGTAAACTCAGGGGTTGTACCGTACGACTGGAGAATTGCTAACATAGTTCCAATTTTTAAGAAAGGGAAAAAAAGTGATCCGAGTAACTATAGGCCTGTTAGTTTGACATCTGTAGTATGCGAGGTGTTGGAAAAATTTTTGAAGGAGAAAGTAGTTAAGGACATTGAGGTCAATGGTAATTGGAACAAAATACAACATGGTTTTACAAAAGGTAGATTGTGCCAAACCAACCTGATCTCCTTCTTTGAGAAGGTAACAGATTTTTTAGACAAAGGAAACGCAGTGGATCTAATTTACCTCGATTTCAGTAAGGCATTTGATACGGTTCCACATGGGGAATTATTAGCTAAATTGGAAAAGATGGGGATCAATATGAAAATTGAAAAGTGGATAAGGAACTGGTTAAAGGGGAGACTACAATGGGTCATACTGAAAGGTGAACTGTCAGGCTGGAAGGAGGTTACTAGTGGAGTTCCTCAGGGATCGGTTTTGGGACCAATCTTATTTAATCTTTTTATTACTGACCTTGGCACAAAAAGTGGGAATGTGCTAATAAAGTTTGCAGATGACACAAAGCTGGGAGGTATTGCTAATACAGAGAAGGACCGGGATATCATACAGGAAGATCTGGATGACCTTGTAAACTGGAGGAATAGTAATAGGATGAAATTGAATAGTGAAAAGTGCAAGGTCATGCATTTAGGGATTAATAACAAGAATTTTGGTTATAAATTGGGGACACATCAGCTGGAAGTAACAGAGGAGTATTGGTTGATCACAGGATGACTATGAGCCGCCAATGTGATATGGCCGTTAAAAAAGCTAATGCTGTCTTGGGATGCATCAGGCGTGGTATTTCCAGTAAAGATAAGGAGGTGTTAGCACCGTTATACAAGGCACTGGTGAGACCTCATCTGGAATATTGTTGCAGTTCTGGTCTCCCATGTTTAAGAAGGATTAATTCAAACTGGAACAGGTACAGAGAAGGGCTACTAGGATGATCCGAGGAATGGAAAACCTGTCTTATGAAAGGAGACTCAAAGAGCTTGGCTTGTTTAGCCTAACCAAAAGAAGGATGAGGGGAGATATGATTGCTCTCTATAAATATATCAGAGGGATAAATACCAGGGAGGGAGAGGAATTATTTAAGCTTAGTACCCATGTGGACACAAGAACAAATGGATATAAACTGGACATTAGGAAGTTTAGACTTGAAATTAGACGAAGGTTTCTAACCATTAGAGGAGTGAAGTTCTGGAACAGCCTTCCAAGCGGAGTAGTGGGGGCAAAAGACATATCTGGCTTCAAGACTAAGCTTGATAAGTTTATGGAGGGGATGGTATGATGGGATAGCCTAATTTTGGCAATTAATTAATCTTTGATTATTAGCAGGTAAATATGCCCAATGGTCTGTGATGGGATGTTAGATGGGGTGGGATCTGAGTTACTACAGAGAATTCTTTCCTGGGTGCTGGCTGCTGAGTCTTGCCCACATGCTCAGGGTTTAACTGATCGCCATATTTGGGGTCGGGAAGGAATTTTCCTCCAGGGCAGATTGGCAGAGACCCTGGAGGTTTTTTGCCTTCCTCTGCAGCGTGGGGCATGGGTCACTTGCTGGAGGATTCTCTGCACCTTGAGGTCTTTAAACCACGATTTGAGGACTTCAATAACTCAGGCATAGGTTAGGGGTTTGTTACAGGAGTGGGTGGGTGAGATTCTGTGGCCTGCGTTGTGCAGGAGGTTAGACTAGATGATCATAACGGTCCCTTCTGACCTTAAAGTCTATGAGTCTGAGGCTTGGTCTACACTTACCCCCCAAGTCGAAGTAAGGTACGCAAATTCAGCTACGTGAATAACGTAGCTGAATTCGACATACCTTACTTCGAACTTACCGCGGTTCAGACGCGGTCCACACGCGGCAGGCAGGCTCCCCGTCGACTCCGCGGTACTCCTCTCGTTGAGCTGGAGTACCGCAGTCGACGGGGATCACTTCCTGGTTCGATTTATCGCGTCCAGACCAGACGCGATAAATCGAACTCGGAAGTTCGATCCCCAGCCGCCGAACTAGCGCGGTAGTGTAGACCAGCCCTAAGAGAAGTGCCTTCCAAAATCTGAGAGGTACAAGGTGTGGAGCATGCATTTGGAAGTTTTAAAAAAGCAACACTCCAATGCAGAAACTACAGAACCCGAACCACCAAAAAAGAAATCCAACCTTCTCCTGGTGGCATCTGACTCAGATGATGAAAATGAACATGTGTCAGTCTGCACTGCTTTGGATCGTTATCGAGCAGAACCCATCATCAGCATGGACACATGAAGGGACATATGACATATGAATCTTTAGCACATCTGGCACGTAAATATCTTGCAACACCAGCTACAACAGTGCCATGCGAATGCCTGTTCTCACTTTCAGGTGACATTGTAAACAAGAAGTGGGCAGCATTATCTGCTGCACATGTAAACAAACTTGTTTGTCTGAGCGATTGGCTGAACAAGAAGTAGGACTGAGTGGACTTGTAGGCTCTAAAATTTGACATTGTTTTATTTTTGAATGCAACTATTTTTTGTGCATAATTCTACATTTGTAAGTTCAACTTGCATGATAAAGGATTGCACTCCAGTATTGGTGTTAAGTTAATTGAAAAATATTATTTCTTTTATTTTTACAGTGCACATATTTATAATAAAAAAAATATAAAGTGGGCACTGTGCACTTTGTATTCTGTGTTGAGATTGAAATCGATATATTTGAAAATGTGGAAAACATCCAAAATATTTAAATAAATAGTATTCTATTATTGTTTAACAGTGCAATTAATTGAGTGATTAATTGCAATTAATTTTTTAATTGCTTTACAGCCCTAGTTCAGACCCATCTCGCAAAGCTCAGCCTTAAATATTACAGTACACAATGCAGCCATTGCCAACCTGGGAAGACACCCTGTCCTCAGTACACCCCAGTGGGGCATGGAATGCAGCAGGGATGGATGGATGAAGAGCTCAGAGGAAGTGGGTCACTGATAGCTCTCACTATGTAATTGGGAGCATGCAGTGTATACCTCCTCCTAGGAAACTGTAACTAGAGACATTGACTAAACACCTCTTAAGGTCTGTCTGCACTGCAATCAGAAGTGTGACTGGAGCATGCGTAGATCAGGCTCCAGCCCAAGCCTGGAAGCAATCAAATAACCCTGCAGCCTGAGCTCCGCAAGCCCAAATTGACTGACACGGGCCAGACGCAGGTATCTAGTTGCTGTATAAACATTCCCATTGAGCTCAATCAAAGCCAGCTCAGGTATGCTGCAATCCCACCTCTGATTGCAGTGTAGACATACTCTTTGTGTGGAACATCGCTGGTCTTGAACACCAGCCTGCAGCTACAGGAGCAGTGTGCTTCCTCTCCAGGGAGCAGCTCGGACAGCTGTGCTACCCCTGGTTACAGAAAGCAGGTGCAACTGTCAGGAGGCCTAGAGAGCTCTAGACTAAATCATAATAATGGGGAAAGGGGAGCCTTGCCTTGAGCCTCTAGTTACCTTAGCAGTAGGTGAGACTGAAGAGCCTGTGGTATGGAAGTCTATGGATTACGAGAGAGTTTGGAACCTTTTAATACAATTCATACCAACCCAATTTTTCCTATGATAGCTCCATTCAGCACTGACAACTACTTTGCAGGCACACATTAACAGCCATGCCTGAGGCCTGTTCAGAGCTGTGTTACAAGATGACCTGGATAATTATAGGCCTGTCAATCTGACACTGATACTACGAAACATAATGGAGCAGCTGATATGGGGCTCGATTAATAAAGAATTAAAAGAAGGTAATATAATTAATGCCAATTAACATAGGTTTATGGAAAATATATCAAACTAACAATATCTTTGTTTGATGAGATTAAAGGTTTGGTTGATAAAGGCAATAGTGTTGATGTAATACATATACACTATAATACACATACTCTGTAATACACTGTAAGATGTTTGTCTTGTTACTGCACGACATTTTGGTTAAAAAACTAGAACAAATAAAATTATGGCACACATTAAACAGATTAAAAGCTGGCCAATTGATAGGTCTCAAAATGTAATTGTAAACAGGATTCCTCATTGAGTGGGTGTTTCTAGTGGGGTCCTTCAGGGATCCGTTCTTGGCCCAACATAAAATCATTACTGATAAAGGCTTCAGATGACACAACAATGGGGGGAGTGGTAAATAATGAGGACAGGTCATTGATACAGAGCCATCTGGATCTGTTGGTCAGTTGGGTACAAGAAAACAATGTGCATTTGAAAACAGCTAAATGGAGAATCATAGAACCATAGAATCACAGGGTTAGAAGGGACCACAAGGGTCATCTAGTCTAACCCCCTGCCAAGATGCAGAATTTGTTGTGGCTAAACCATCCAAGATGGATGGCTATCTGGCCTCCTTTTGAAAACCTCCAGTGAAGAAGCTTCTACAACCTCCTGAGGCAGTCTGTTCCACGGTCCGACTGTTCTAACAGTTAGAAAGTTTTTCCTGAGATTTAATCTAATCTATTATTACATCCAGGAACAAATCATGTAGGCCGTACTTACAGGATTGGGGACTCTATCCTGGGAAACAATGACTCTGACAAGGATTGGGGGGGTCGTGGGGATAATCAGCTGAATATGAGCTCCCAGTGTAACACTGTGGCCAAAAGAGCTAGTGTGATCCTTGGATGCATAAAAAGCGGAACCCTGAGGAGGAGCAGAGAGGTTATTTTACCTCTGTTTTTGGCACTGGTGTGACCATTGCTGGAATTCTGTGTCAAATTCTAGTGTCCAAAATTCAAGAAGGATGTTGATAAATTGGAAAAGGTTCAGAGAAGAGCCATGAGAATGATTAAAGGCATCAATTTCTGCGGATTGTAATGACCTCATGTCCCCACAGGATCACCACTTAATCACCTCCAGACCAAACAATTGATCAACAGTGTTGCCATTGACTATCATTAGGTTTAAGTCAGTTCCCTGAGAAACATCCCAATTAAGTAGATTTGCCAATTAAACTGACTGCAGTTGAAGCAACTATTGAGCAGTCACAAGAACTGGGCTTCTATGGAAAGGGCACCTGGTATCACACCAACTCCACAATATGCACCCTAATCACCCCAAAGTTAATGTTGTGCCTCTGAGGGTCATACACTCCAGCATCTCCGATCCATTCTGCACAAACCCCATCTTGCAGAGGAAGGTGCAGGTTGAGTTATCAGTGAAGTCTCCATGTCAGTGAGAGCAGTTTAATTGGCCCCTCTCTGGGACAACTAGAACTGGGCACTTTACAGCCGGAAAAGTAAAGCTCAAGTCTTTAACGAAAAAGTCTGGATGTGTCAGGGTTGGTTGTTGGGGGTGAAATGCCAGGGGAATGGGCTGATGGATAGTGAAGTGCCAAGGGTACATGGGTGCATGAAGGTGGGTGCTAGGGGCATAGGGTGCCAGGTGGATGGGCTGACAGAGGTGTGGGTTGCTTGAACTGCAATGTGAGGTTGTTGGGGTTAGAGGCTTCTCCAGCTATAGGCAAGCTAGGCAGCTGCCTAAGGCAGCTGATTTGGCCTGGCTGCCCCTCCATCATGATGGGGGAGTGGGGGGTGACCTGGCCAAATTAGAGTGGCATTGTGACCCTGCACACCCGGTTTCAATGTCATTCACTAAAATTTAGCCCAGGTGGCCTCTATTTCCTGACATAACAGAAGCACAGCCAAGCCAAATCTGCTGCCCTAGGCCTATGAGAAGGGGGTGACACACTGAAGTTTTGCTTAGATGGCAGACTGTCTTGAGCAGCTTCTGGTTGAAGTGCTCTGGCCAGGGGCATGTGGGGCCAAGTAAAATGGCATGCCAGAGAGAGGTGCAGCCAGATTGGCTGTCAGCTAATGGGGTGCAGGTGAGCAGCATGCCAGGAATATGGACTGGTGGATCATGAAGGTAGGATATCATGTGTGTGTTAAGAGATAAGGTGCTGGAGGGATAAACTGTGTTGCCAGGGATTGCATCCAATTTGCACACACTTTGCACTGGTGTAAATGGCTGCCCAAGCGGCAGAGCAATGGTGACCCATATCCATTGTCTCCCAATTACAAAAATTTCTCCCAGTGAAGCTTTATATTGCACAGCTGCCCCAGATCAAAAGGTCCAGTCCCCTGGCCCCCAAACCATTGTACACAATAGCTCTCTTCCCTAGACCTGGCAAAGAACTGGTCCCCTATGGAAAGTCACCTGGGCTCACACCAGCTCAGCAATGTACATTCCACACACCCCACAGTTAATGCTGTGCCTCTACCTTCACAGCGC